TACCATTTGCTTGCTCAACAAGACCTTGAAGGCCATGTTTGATCTTCATGTCATATGTTTCAGCAAGATTGGTGATAAGTGTATTGCAGAATTCACGACCATTGTCAGACTGAAGGATATCAGGGGCGCCAAAGTGATTGATCCATGTGAGAAGGCATGCTTCAACATTTCGGGCTGACTTTTTCGTCATTGGATACTTGGGGTTAGTGCTGAATGTTGGAAGAAGACTGACTCACAACTTGAGAATATTTGGTGAAATGGTCTTTGATATGACAGATCCAGTGAAACTTCTTTCCATTTTTCTCAAGACATTTGCACGCATATCAATCAAGTCAATCTGGATGCGCGCAAAAGGGATCATCCGACTTTAGCGGCTGAAGTTGCCCTTTGTCTTTGTTTCGTGCCCTGTTCATAAGCATGATCTGCAAAATGAGAGACTCTTACTTTAACTGGCAAACACTGCATGCTTCAATCATCATTTTGATCTCAAACTTGCCAATCCCGCGATAGTGAGCTCGTATATCAGAGAGAGTTTTGTTTTGTCCTGAATGTCCAACAATGTTGCAGTGAACATGTTTGATCTTTGAGAACACCTCGGCTGCTGGCACAAGCTTGTAGTAGCTTGTTTTGCCAAGAGGGCAGATCAAAATGTCATGCTTGTTGTCACGCGGCGCCGCGTGACATTTATCCTTTCCCATCAAACGAAGTTCCTTTGGACATCAGCTTGCCATCAACGATCCAGTTCTTATGAACTTCACCACCCACGAGAGTATTAGGAGGCTAACTTTGTCAAGGACGAAGTTAGTCATGTAGGGAGTTAGTCATGTAGGAAGTTAGTCATGTAGGAAGTTAGTCATGTAGGAAATTAGTCATGTAGGAAGTTAGTCACGTAGGAAGTTAGGAAGATATGAAGTTAGTGAGATGCGAGGTTAGGGAGGTAGAACTTCGTCGGGGACAAAGTTCGCAAGGTACGAAGCTCGGGGACTCGGGTTGAACGAAGTTCTGCATTGGCAAAGTTCGGGAAGAACGAAGTACTTAAGGGCCGAAGTTCCCAGGGATCTTTGACGATCTCTGGTTGTTGTCTTAGTGATAGGAGTTAGTAGAGCACAAAGTTACTACACCCAGAAGTTATTGTCAAAACCCCTACTACAAAGAACACACCTATTTAGGGTCATAGCCCACGAAGTTATTGGCCGTCGGTCCTAGAAAACAAAGGAAGAACCAACCCTGTGACACTGGTGTTGCGGTTGCTGGGCCCCGCACTCAAGGGCTAAGGGATGAAATTCGTGGGGCTAGTGAAACGTTTTGGGCTGCTAACTGGAGAATGAGAAACACTGTGAGGAACGACCCGTTGTTGGTGACAGCCCGTGAAGAACTTACTAGTACGGAGGGGGCCCACTCCTGGTGGGATGATGGTGCAAGGTGGAGTCGTGAAAAAGGAAAAGGGAAGATGGTGATGGATGATATTGACATCCTTGTAGATGAAGAGAGAAATAAGACTTAGCGTTGTACAACTTCTTGTTCCATGTATCATTCTTGACCGGTCCTAAGTTTGTCGAGTAAGAACTCGACAAACTAAATCTTCCCCCGGTTTCTCAGGATAACGCTCGTGGAATTCCTTAAGAAGTTCATCTGCACCATCAACATTTCCCTTTGGTTCCCAAGAGACAGCATCGTCAGTTCCTTCAAATCCCAACCACTCTACTAAATACTCTACCTTCCCAGATCTTTTATTTATTCTAGAGTCTAGAATATCTTTAACTTCCCATGACTCTCCTTCATCATCAACTTTGACTGGGTCAGGAAGTTCTGCCTCCTGTCCCACGAAGTTCGTTGGTTGAAACTTCCTTAGCAACGACACATGAAAAACATTATGAAGTTTAGCCATTGAAGCTGGTAACTTCAGCCTACACGCATGAGTGCCAATGTGTTTGATAACCTCGTACGGTCCTGCTTGTTTAGCATCTAACTTCTTACTGGGTCTCTTAGTTCTAATATTCTCAAGAGATAACATTACTTTGCTCCCAACTTCAAGGACTGGTGTTGCGGAATGTCTACGATCATACGCTTCTGAGTATCTCTCATTGGCTAGTTTGATGCCTTCAACACACCGCTTATGTTTTTCCTGTAGATCAGTAACAACTGCTGGAGCCACAGGAACTTCTACTTCGGATTCTCTAATCTCATCCGTCCACCGTGGATGATACCCAAAGTTCGCGAAGAACGGGGTCATCCCGATAGCCGAATGAATTGTATTATTATATGCAAAGCTAGCCTTTGGCAATAACTTCGCCCAATCATCTTGTTGGTACGAAGCAAATACTCGTAGATACATTTCCAAGGCTTGATTCGTTCGTTCAGTCTGTCCGTCAGTCTGTGGATGATATGCAGTAGAAAGGTGTAGTCTTATGCCAAGACTAGCAGTCAGATCCTTCCAGAACTTTGAGGTAAATTTTGCCCCTCTATCCGAAATTATTCCCTCTGGCAGCCCATGTTGGGCCACCACATGCTCAACCACCAGATCCCCTAACCCGGCCGCCGTGAGGTTCGTTGTTGTGGGTACGAACATCGCCCATTTCGTCAACCGGTCCACTATCACCAAAGTCGAGTTAAAGCAGTTTGACTCTGGTAGTTCTTCAACGAAATCCATTGAGACACTAGACCAAGGTTTCTCAGCCACTTCCAGTGTCTTCAGTGTTCCCTGAGGCTTTTGTCTGTTTGTTTTAGCTCTCTGACACACTACACATCCCCCAACATAATCTTCCACATCTTTCCTAACTCCATTCCAGATGTAGTCTCTAAGTACTAACTCCAGAGTCTTTGTGACTCCAGGATGACCGGCTAACACCGAATCATGCCTGGACTTCAAGATTTTTACTCGCATCCCATCGATGTTTGGAAGTTATACCCGCCCATCGAATTGTAGGAACCCTCTTACCGACCACGATGGATTCAAGAACATTCCATGGCGCAATCGTAGCCGAAATTCTTTGACCTGTCTTGGTTCCTGACATTCAGCTTTACATTCAGGATGAGAACACTCGGTACAGATCACTGCTAACATTCCTTCCCGAACTTCGTTTATTTCCTCATCAATTTCGTATCCTTTGACAATATCTTCGCCTTCGATTCGATCTTCTTCCCTAACTTCTTTTGTTCCTTGCAAAGCCTGGAGCAAATGTCCCAAACTTGATTCGGTAACATTGCCTGAGTCGAACTGCGGCAACCCTTGGACGAAGTTCTCCTCCTGTTCTGTAGTTATTCCCTTTATACCAGGATGGTAGTCTGGTCGTTGTGACAAAGCATCTGGCAACGCTGCCTGTCTTCCAGGTCGATAAACCATCGTAAATCTGAAGTTAGCCAGCTCTTCAACCCACCTACCTTGCCTAGGGTTCAGTTGTTTCGGGGCCATCCAATATGTGAGGTTAAGATGATCTGTCAAGACCTTTGTTTCCACCTGTAGTAATAAGTGTCTCTTCCTTCTAAAGCCTTCGACTATCGCTAACAGCTCCTTTTCCCCCGTAGTATAATTCAACTCAGCACCCTTAAAGGCTCCCGATTCGATAGCCACAGGATGTTCCCTACCTTCCTTATCAATCTGCGAGATAATCTATCCCCACCCAAAAAACAAGGCGTCTGCTTGCATGATCGTCTTCAAAGAAGTGTCGAAATGAGCCAGCACTGGAGCTTTCCATAATTTCTTCTTCAGCACTCTGAACGCCTCCTCTTGCTCAGTTCCCCATGTGAAGCTTACATCCGTGCAAGTAAGATCGTTCAGACGCTTCGCGATTTTCGAGAAATTCGGGACGAATCGTTGGTAATAACTGACCATTCCCATGAAACCTTGGACCTCTCGTAAATTCTTAGGTCAAGGGAATTCCTGTACAGCAGCAACATATTCTGGATTTGCCGAAATTCCTGAGTTTGAAATCACATACCCAAGGAAACCCACCGAACTTCGTTTGAACTCACACTTCGCCGCCTTCACAAACAAGTTAGCTTCCCTAAGTCTCTGAAACACCTTTACTGTGCATCTCCTCAGTTCCTCCTGGGTCTTAGCATAAATCAGAATATCGTCGATATAGACTATGACCCCTTCCCCTAGTAGATCTCTGAAGATGTCGTTCAAGAAGTGTTGGGATACGGCAGGCGCATTTCGTAAACCATCCCTAACCACTAACGATTCATACATTCCATATTGTGTCCGAAAGGCCGTGAGATACTCATATCCCTCATGTCATGAATGACACTATCAAGTTATGACTTGTCATAACCACAAGTTCAAACCTCCACTCTCATATCTTCCTCTGCTCTCAAGCCTATCAGGCATTAACTCCAAGTGTATCTTTCCTGTGCTCTTATGCCTAACAGGCATAAGCTCCAAGTACTTCTCCAGTTTCCCTTTCCTCTGTTCTGATGCCTTGTAAGGCATAATCTCTCAGTCTCTTATTCTCGCAGCCCTTCTATGTTCTGCACAGTTCCTCATTGACCCCCTTCAACAAAGTCACCGACTTCCGGTGCATCACATAGGATATCATAGTAGGACGTAGGTAAACGCAGATATGGTATCGTAGGATATCAGTGGTAATCGGTGGGATGCATGGCAATGCATGCAGGACAGCGCAGGACGGTTCAGAGCGCTCGTATTCCGCAGGTCTGCATGAGCCTCTTGGAAAAGGCTGATTTTAATATATAAACCCTATCTAGTATTGTAGTTTTCTTCTTCAGCAATGTATCTTTTCAATCCCCTTCCTCTTGTTTGATAAGTCACTCAGTTGGTTCTAACCCAACCTCTCGATCCTCTCAGTATCTAAGGCAGTCACCAAGGTCCACGAGCCAGAGACTAAACCCTCTCAGTTCCCAAGGCAGTTCTTTGCTACCGCAGTCTACCCGCAGGCGTGACACCTCAGCAATTCGAAGTAATTGGTACGCCCCCATTAAGTCGAGTTTCGTAAAATAGTTTGCCGTACCTAGCTTGTCAAGGATACTGCCCACCCTGGGACAGAGGACAAAGGACAAGGGGACAAGGACTAGGAGTGACAAGGAATATACTTAAGATAACAAGACTGAGTCCAACAAGGAATGGGACTGTGACCCAAGGAATGTCTCTGGCTTGTCTTACAAGGTTAGAGGGAACTGGACTGGACTGGACTGGACTCCAAAAGGGTGGCAATGGAAATGACTTTTGATCAAGAACTAAAGAAGACTACAAAGTACTAAGTAGGGTTTATATAGACAAATCAGGCTTTCTACCAGGCTGAACCGTCCTGCGTAGGAAAACACCGCAATCCTCGGCGTACCTATTGTTTTCTAACTAACAATAACAAACTGCGCTCTGTTCTCGCCGTGCTGCGTATAATACGCTGTTGACCGCACGCAGAAGTACGCATGACGACGTAAACCATACGTTCGCCTCAAATCTAACTAAACTAAAGTCTTGGGTCTAATGCCATACCAGGCATACTAACTGAGGATAACATAACTAACTAAAGTTCCAGGTCTCTTGCCTGAAAGGCATCAGAGCAGAACTAAAACATGCAGAAACTGATACTTGTGATTCATGACATAGCTCTTCAGTAATCTGACTGATCAATGGGAGGGGATAAACCTCTGGGATGGTAACTTCGTTTAACTTCCTATAATCCGTTACCATCCGCCATTGTCCTTTTACCTTCTTGGGGACCATGAACATAGGTGATCCATACGGTGAGTTACTCTTCCGGATCCTACCGGCAGCTACCTCCTTGTCCAAAATCTCCCTCAACGCTTTTCTCTGATCCTCACCTAACGAATATAATGGAGCTACCTTCAGCTTCGCCCCCTCCACTAGATCAAGTCTTGAGTCATAACTTCGGTTTGGGGGTAGTGTCTCTCCTCCTACCTTAGGGTTAAAAATATCCAAGAAACCATGGTACTCAGGAGGTATCAACTCCAGCAGTTCCTCTTGTTCTTCCTCACTAAGTTCGTCCTCCAAAGCCGAATCTCTTGGGCCAAGAACTTCCCCTTCCTTGAACCCAAAACCCGCTTCCAACTTTTCCCGCTCCTTTTTCTTCCTCCCTGGAAGCCTTATTACCTCTTCCCTCACATCCAGGACCACTCCTTCTTCCTTCATCCATTCCCATCCTATCACCACGTCTGCGTCACATGGCTTGGTGACGTCTAACCGAATCATCTGAACTTCATCCTCTTCTGAGACATGAATCCCCATTTCAACAAACTTTGTTATGGGACCACGGATACTTTCCGAGCCATCAAACATACGTACAGGTACTTCCTCTGGGTATCTCATAACTTCTAATGTTAACTCCTCCACTGTTTTTGGGTTTATATATGAACTAGTCGCTCCCGAATCCCACAAGGCGACCACCTGGGCCCCTTCTACGTTGATTTTAGTCTTTGGTTGCCTTGCATTAGTGATGGGTATCCTGATGAAATGTCCGTCTTCGTATACACATTGTCCTGCTACTGTCAGCGCTTCCCTTGTAATATCAGAAGGAACAATAGCAGAGAGGACAGAAAATGGGACCCGCCGACGTTCTCTCAAACCGACTGGTCCAAGTCTTCTCCCTCCTCCACACCTTCCCCTGCTACCGCATTCATCTGCCTCGGCTCTCCCATCGCCACCGCGTTTGTTCCCGTTCCTCTGTTCCTTGGACTTTTCCACGTTTCAGGAGGCTTCATTAATCCTTGGGCTACCTTGGCGGCTACCAACGGACAGTCCTTCACATAATGTCCTTGGCCCTCACACTCGAGACACGCTCTTTCAGCCCTCCACTTCTCCCTCTGTTCAAAGCTCGGCCTTGGGGTAAGAGGATCCCCTTGCTTCCAGACCTTTGACCCCAATGTTATATTGTTTCAATTTATAGGAGGAGCTGACACCAAAACTACAGGCTCCTTCGTTGCTGTTGTCACTAACTTCGGCACCGATTGCACGAAGTTAGGCACTCTTCCCCAGGTTGTTTTCTGCCCATTAGCCTGTCTCTCCACCCAGCGTTCAGTCATCCTGTTGTCTAGCTTAATCACCACCGCCTTCAACTCCTCCATGGTCTCTATCTCTTCCCTCCGAGGAAGCTCATCTTTCATAACTTCGTCTAGCCCATTAATAGCCTGAGCCACCAACATCTCCTCCTCACTCCATCCCAATATAGCAAATACTTTTGGAACTCAGCAAAGTACGCCGATGCCTTCCCTTGCTTCTGTTTCAGCTCCCTTAAACCTCTGATAGCCGTGCCCCTCTCATCTGGATCTCCGAAGTTCTTTTTCATCCACACCACGAATTCAGAACGTTTTGAAAGGAAAAGAGGAAGAGGAGTAGAGAGTAAATGAGGCTGCACTGCCAGCAGTGCAACCCCTCATAGGAACCCTACCATCCACAACACACTCTGTTCCTCGCTCTCAAATCTATCCCTCATCACACTCAACGCCAACAAACACTGAGTCAAAAACCCAGTAAGCTTTTCTCTTGACCCATCAAACCCGTCCGGGTCCTTCGGTTTCGGCGCTCAAGTCGACAAAGTTGTTGCCGACCCTTCTCTAAATCCACAATTCCCTTGGCGAAGTTCATGCACTATCTCTATCAAGGCTTCACTCTTCTGATTATCAGCACTCTTCAACTGTTTCAGGGCCCTCATCATTTCAACCAACATCCCATCCCTAACATCCTCCTCAAACCTTTCCGGCGAATTTCCTCCCCTGGGTCGCGAGGTGTACGAACTTCGTCCACCAGGTGAACCCCCGTCTTCATCCTCCAGTGTTCTTCTTTGACCGCCCCCTTCCACCCACGGGTCCTCTCAGTATGCGTCAGAAGGTGGTTCGGTGAGAAACGACGACTCCCTAGGACCGTGAGGTTCTAGGTTACCTTGATTATCCCCTTGTTCATTCCTCGACATTTCTTCAGCCGTTCTTCTCTCCCTTTCCTTTCCTCTAGTCCACATACAGTCTCCCACGAGTTACTGGAGAGTCGGTAAGGACAATCTCTGGTACTGTCACAGGGTTGGTTCTTCCTTCGTTTCCTAGGACCAACGGCCAATAACTTTGTGGGCTATGACCCTTAATAGGTGTGTTCTTCGTAGTATGGGTGTGACAATAACTTCTGGGTGTAATAACTTCGTGCTCTACTAACTTCTATCACTAAGGCAACAACCAGAGATCGTCAAAGATCCCTGGGAACTTCGGTCCTTAAGTACTTTGTTCTTCCCTAACTTCGCCAATGCACTTCGTTCAGCCCGAGACCCCGAGCTTCGTCCCCGACGAAGTTCATACCTCCCTAATCTCGTACCTCCCTAACTTCGTACTCCTTAACTTCGTATCTCACTAACTGCGTATCTTCCTAACTTCCTACATGACTAACTTCGTCCACGACAAAGTTAGCCTACTAATACCCTCGTGGGTGGTGAAGTTCATAAGAACTGGATCGTTGATGGCAAGCTGATGTCCAGAGGAACTTTGTTTGATGGGAAAGGATAATGTCACGTGGCGCCGCGTGACAACCAGTCACATCTCGTTCCTTTCGCCCGATGGTATCATTGACTTCTCCACAGAACTTATGGCCGAAGATGGCGTGGCGGCCAGTACGAAGGAGATGCTCGTTCCATTGGAGCAGTAAGCTATGAGTAGCAGATCCAATATGAGAACTTTTCTTCGATAAGTTCCGAGTTAAAAGATGAATTTGATTGAGGAAACGACGAATGATGACACCTTGTACGTCCATCATATCTGCTGCACGAAGAGCGACTATGGTCATAGCTGCTAACCGTTTCTCAACCTTAAAAATTTTCTAAGGTGAGAACTTCGACTAGTTTCTTGAGATCCTCGATGATTTGCTCCTGTGAAAGGAGGAGAACTTCTTTGGGCACCGACGAAGAGGACGAAGATGACGAAAGGTGACGGAGGAGGAGGAGGGACGGGGACGACAAAGGCCCCGGGAACGACTGGCGACGGGGAGCGAAGGTCGACGGCGGGGGGAGCACGAGCAGAACGAGGGACGCGAGGAGGGGGAGACAGTGATAGCTCCCACAAAGGAGCAGGAGGGCAAACTGGCCGGATGGTGACCGACGGAGGGAGAGGAGGAGGAAGGCCGGGAAGTTCGTCCGACAACGAAGGAGATTCAGTGGCGAACACTGAGCGTCCAGCAGCCGGAGGCGAAGGACGGGAAGTTGTCGAAAGCTTCCGCTGCTTAGCAGGGGAAGGGGGGAGGAAGGAACAGACGCCGGATGTGCACGATGCACAACGTGTACCGCGGTTGGTACCGCAAGGACGGACACAGGGGAAGTCAGGGTGACGAGATTGTTCGTCACTGGAAGTTAGGATCTGTTACAATTTTTTTTTTAGAAAGTTTGATTTGCTCACCGGCAGCGATCACATTCTTCTCCTTTGGGAGCCAGTTCCCACCTCTCAGGTTGGGCCGCAAGGAGGGCCAACAGACTAGCCGAAGTTCTAACCGTTCCCGAGCGAGGAACGGGGGAGGAAGATGGGGCCTCGACCCGTACCCGTTTTCGGATGGGAGTGGGCAACGATTGGGCGGCCGACAAGGAAGAAGAGACAGATATGGGTGACGAAGTTCGTCGATGTCTCTTCTTGGGAGACCAAAGGATCGAAGTTTTCTTTTTTGAACTCACCTCTTTTGAGGGAGTTTTCCTCTTAGCCGGGGTCGAGGACGGGCCGGCGACAGCATCGGGAGCTGCTGAAGACGATGAAGATGCCGACAAAGACGGGAGGGCAGCCGAGAGAGAAGAAAGGCGAGACCAGCCGAGCTGGCGAGGCGGCGAACGAAGGACGAAGGGGGAGCAGGAGGCGGGGATTGGACCCGGGACACTAACATCAGCCATTTGACCAAAAGATTTCGACGAGGTTTGCAGGAAGTTCGAACTTACTGCTACGAGTCCGTTGGGCAACGGTGGGAGGAGGAGGTTTGACGAGTTTGCGAGGGGTAGACGGGGCCATGGTAGGTATGAAAAGATGAAATTAATGGGGGAGTTGTGTCACGTCCGTCGAACAACTACTTTCTAACAGACCGACTCTCGACGAACCTCGGCTAACTTGACGCTCCTAAGTCGATGTCTCACCCAACCGGAGGGCGCAGACGTTGAAAGGAGTGTAACTATGGCGTACTTCGGCGTAGTTACTCTCACTGGGGTTTTGTTCTACTGATGGCAATGTATCTCGATTTGTATATAGCTATCTCTATCTGTCTTTCACTACTGACAACAATCAAGGATTGCTGAAGAAGTTCAGTGATCTGTAAACTATCTATATTACTCCTCTCTTCTCATAGAACATCCCTCAACTCCTGCACTGCCTCACGCTCAGTCCTCTTCGTTCAACTTCGCCGTACCTCGCCATATCCCCGATGTCCTTCTCCGCTCACTTCAACTAACTTCGCCTAGCTTCCCCTGTTCTGCTCTCCCTCGGTTCCCTTCCCCTGACTTCGCCGTAGTTCTCCGCTAGGCGGGGTTATTGTGACAAATACCCTCTTGGTTCTTGTAACTTCGCCGTAGTTGGTCTCAGTGGTTCGAGTGGAGGTTGGTGATGGTGAAAGGAGGGTCGGTGATGGTGGTTGTCAGGGATGTTACGACGTAGTTCGTGACAAGTTGGTTGAGATGTGAGAAAAGAGTTGAAAAAAAAATTGAAGAAGTTAGGGGGGAAGTTCGTCGGCCTGTAGAGTATAAGGGGAAATTCGTTGCTGTTGACAACAGAAAAGGGCGTTCCCCTTGGCAACGTCGTGTTTCATGGTGACCAGGATACCACGATAATCCCTGGATACGGGATGAAAATTTTCAGGCTAAGGATTTTTTGTGCTTCATTTTGTGAATACTGCACTCACGGACAGGTTACTGCTCCCCATTCCTCATACATGGAATTCTTCCATCATTGTCATGTCTTCTTGCTACATTTGAATTTCCCCCACAAATTTTCAATCAACAGGAGGTTAGATATGAGTTTCAGTATACGATCTTGCTGTGCAGGTGGTGGAGTGACCAAAGGAGGTTTCAGGACTTCCTGACTCTTCGTGTGGGAATGATTTTGTCAGGATCTTGACTCTCAGGTCAGACTGGGACCCGAACTTCATGCTGAGTTGTTTTGTTTATTTCGGTGTTAATGTTCGTTCACTAGGACGTTTGCACTCAAGGAGGGGGCGACTGTCACGCGGCGCCGCGTGACATTTATCCTTTCCCATCAAACGAAGTTCCTTTGGACATCGGCTTGCCATCAACGAACCAGTTCTTATGAACTTCACCACCCACGAGAGTATTAGGAGGCTAACTTCATCAAGGACGAGGTTAGTCATGTAGGAAGTTAGTCACGTAGGAAGTTAGGAAGATACGAAGTTAGTGAGATGTGAGGTTAGGGAGGTAGAACTTCATTGGGGACGAAGTTCACAAGGTACGAAGCTCGGGGACTCGGGTTGAACGAAGTTCTGCATTGGCAAAGTTAGGGAAGAACGAAGTACTTAAGGGCCGAAGTTCCCAGGGATCTTTGACGATCTCTGGTTGTTGTCTTAGTGATAGAAGTTTGTAGAGCACAAAGTTACTACACCCAGAAGTTATTGTCACCACCCATACTACAAGGAACAAGCCTATTAAGGGTCATAACCCACGAAGTTATTGGCCGTCGGTCCTAGGAGGTTAAGGAAGAACCAACCCTGTGACACTTGTCATCACTGAGGCGACATTGTTGGCGTACTTTGGTGATCCAAGAGTTGTGAGGAGGAACGAAGGGTGGATTTTCGTCAACATGTTCAAGGATCCACCGTCGATTCTTGTAGTCGTCGTCTGTTATTGTATATTTAAAGTGTTGCTCTTGGAACCATTCTTGAAATGAGCGCTCGAATTCCACACTGAATGCACTCTGGATAACAGACATGATTTTTGTAGTTTATGATGAAGGAGTCGAAGGGGTTGTCTTGTGGAGGTTGAGTCAGGAGATCAGAAACCAAAGTCCTTGGGAAAAACGGAAAATTCATGGAGTGGCAGATCTCCATGACGCTTTGGAGGGTCATGAGGCAGGACCATGACTCTCTGGAGAGTCATGTCTTCCGTGTGTCACGATCTAACCCGTGACCCTCCGGAGCGTCACGTCTCCGGTTCGTCACCTAACAAATATCAAGTCACTGATTCACTTTGACCTCCTTCTTTCATCCTTCATTATATCACATGTAGCAGAGTCAAGCACGTAATACGGGAGTAAATTTGACGTCAAGAGGTGAGCAGAGTAGATGAAATCAGAAGAAAGGATTTCCAGGCTAAATTAACTTGAGATGATCACATCTTACTTTGACCTCCTTTTTTCATCCTTCATTATATCACATGTAGCAGAGTCAAGCGCGTAATACGGGCGTAAATTTGAAGTCAAGAGGTGAGCAGAGTAGATGAAATCAGAAGAAAGGATTTCCAGGCTAAATTAAGTTGAGATGATCACATCTTACTTTGTCATTTCATACCTTTCGCCGCTTAATATGATGTTTTCACCTTTTATTTTCTCTATCAACCTGCAGTATGATTGTTGACTCATCTTCTGACCATTTCGCTGATCACCTCGATCTTTCAAATTCGCCGTCTATTCTACCGTATACTTTAGACCAAATATCATTCACCACAGCAGTTGGTCTTCAAACTCTAAACGTCTTATCCAACAACTACCTTCCGGATGACACTGAATTAGCTAATACCATCACATCTATAACTCAAGCTATTGATTGCCAATGGAAGGAAGGACATCCATTCTGGGATTCTCCAACTTGGTGTTGGCCAGAAGGAGAAGGGCTGGTAGGAGCTGCGACTTGTTTTCAACAATATCATAAGCAACTTCAACCTCGGGATCAATATGATTATCGTGGACAATACAAATTGTCTTTGCTTGATAGTATTATACAAAATCTCTCTGAGGTACACAATCAAGTGACAAAAGAATTAGATGCAAGGTTGGTCCTTCAAGAAGATATCAATCCTTCAGGTCAATTAACTCCTATCAATTTGGTCTGTCCACCATCTTTGACGGAACAGTCTAGCATCTTAAATCCATCTTGAAGACTTGCCACAGAGACAGAGAGAGTCAAGAAAAGTTTGTTTCATGGTGATCCATGGGGTACATTTTTCAATAGACAACAAACTTTGAAAAATTGTCTTAAAGATCCGAACGTAAACGCGGAGACCATTGGGAAGGCTTTCAGCGAGTTTTTGGAGATAGCCTACAAGGCTGTGCACCCCCCATGGGCTGTTAACTGATAATTAGATGATAATACAGAGGGAAAAAGAGCATGCATCAATTCTACATGTCTCTATACTTATCACATTCCACTCACACGCATAAAACCAGAGACGATCGAATAAAGTTCAGAGGCTAAGTTGAACGGAGAAATATTCGACGGAAGGGGTAATTATCTAACGGCGGTTCGGCCGTCCTGGCCCGATTCTATCGGCTAACACTCCCCCACGGGACAATGCACGACTCTGCAGTAGTCCCGGACGATTTATCGATGGCGACGGCGAGGTTTGTGATGATGTAGAGGGTAGTAATGACGAAATATTGAGTGTTATGTGTGTGGTAGTAGTGGTAGGTGAAATCGTGAAATGAATTTCTGTGGGGCCCCCCGCGGGGCTCCGCTCTGACACGTGGCTACCACTCACCGCTACCAACGACTGACTCTTCTCTATCTTTCCTTTTACTTCATCACTTTTACCTCCAATTAACGGTATGTCCACCTTTCGTCTTTCTCCACTTTTATCTCTCATTTCTGACTCTCTGAACTTCCCTTTATCCTGTCTGCTTCTTAAAACTTCAGGTTTGCTAGTAGAATCCCGAGAATCGATGAATTTTCTTCGTGGTCCTGGCTGACGATATCTCATAGATTCGCCACTCGTCGAAAATCTTTTATTTTTATAAGAATCGTCATTATGTCTCGTCGTGGGTTTCTCCTGGTTGGTCTCTGGAGGGAATCGGAGAGAAAAGGTACGCTGTTTATTGATTCTGTCATTATCTAGACTGATTTCTCGAATTCTCTCCAATGATAATCTTTTATCTTCAGATGTTGCTGGCCACCTTGGCCTACGCTCGGTTTCTCTTGGCGGCGGCCTCTCGTGGAGGCCAAGGGGCTTCGTTCCCCTTGTTCGATCTCCTCCATGATATGGAGGCTTGGGAAGGGGCGGTGAGGGATGTCTTGGACGACGAAATGAGGGGTCGTGATGTTGAGATGGGGAATATTTAGTTTTCTCTCTCATCTCACCATGTAGTCGTCCTTCCCTTCTCTTCTGTCCCTTCTCTTTCATCTCTCTAACGATCCTAGGTTCTACCGGTGGTTTCTGACCTATCTTAGAATTACTCACATTCTTAGGTACACCTGAAAATTTTACATTTTGGCTCACGAGAACTTTTCCTTCGGTGGTACCTTCGGTGGGTTTCTTTGAAGTTCCTTCCACCCACACTTCTCTCTCTGGTACTACTTCTCCTTCTGGTATTACTTCGTTCTCTGTACCACCTGATAGATCTCCTAGGTCCTCAAAATCAGAATAATCGTAATCGATGATTTCGTCATCATCTAATGTCACGTATACTGAACCAATGTTTTTCTTCGTCGGTGGTTCTACCCGTATCGCTGACATATTCACCGAATGCACTGGTCCACCTAAATCTTTCGTAAGTACATCTGCTCTCTGATAGACAGTGCTGACATATTCTAGTTCAATAACTTTATTATTGACCAGATCTCGAAGAGCATGATGTCGAATATCGATATGTTTTGTCCTCTGGTGAGTACCAGGTTTTCTCGCTAGTGATATCGATCCTTGGTTATCGCAGTTTAATATAGTAGGATTTAGCTGATCGTAGCCTATCTCCCTCAGTAATCCTCTCAACCACTGAGCTTCCTTCGCTGCTTCAGCCATTGCGATGTATTCTGCTTCGACTGTCGACGACGATACTGTAGCTTGTCTTTTTGAACTCCAGGTTATCGGTGAGTTGTTCATCATGAATATCCAACCTGTAGTTGATCGTCGTGTGTCTTTACATCCTGCCCAATCGGCATCAACCCATCCTGCTAGGTCGCTAGCCTCGCCACCGAGACGAATACCATGTAAACGAGTGGACCGAAGGTAGGTAATTACCATTATCCCTTCCTCCCACACTTTCTTCGTCGGTTTGGTGAGGTACCTAGCAAGGTATGAAGCTGCATAGGATATGTCAGGTCGAGTACATGTGGCTAACCACTGTAGACATCCTATTAATTCTTGAAATGGTCGAATTTCACTTTCCACCTCCGACATCGATGGATTTTTCGCAGTAAGGGGTAACGGCGTTTTTCGGTCTCGATGTAAGTCGTTTTCTGGAAACTTCTGAACTATCTTATTGATGTATGCTGGTTGGTTTAACCATATTGTCTTTTCTTCTCTGTTCCTTGTTACCTTCATACCTAAGATAGTACTTATCTCCCCCAGGTCGGTTATTATCCATCTTTTACCTAGCCCATCGAAAATTTCCTTCGCTTCTTCCTTCGATTTCGTGGCTAATACCAGATCATCGACATAGGCTAGCAGTATTGCTGCTCCCTTTCCTTCGATTTTCCCTTCTGGTCTGTAGTAAAGACCCCAATCTGACTCGATTCTTGAAAAACCTAGGTGAGATAATCCTTCGCCGAGTTCTATCCACCATGTCCTACCAGATTGCTTTAACCCGTAAAGAGACTTGACTAACTTCAAGGTGTTACATCCAGGTTTCGGTTTTATCCCCTTGGGATATTTCATGTAAATTTCAACATCGAGTTTACCGTTTAAATACGCCCCTTCGACATCGGCCTGACGAATTTCGAGGTCTTCGGTGGCCGCTATAGTCAAGAGTATTCATAACGACCCCGATCTACCGACAGGTGCGAATGTCTCTTCGTAGTCGACACCTGGTACCTGTGAGAATCCTTGAGCTACTAGTCTGGATTTATACTTTAGTAGGTTTCCTTCTGAATCTGTCTTCACTTTGAATACCCATTTACATCCAATGGCTTTACGACCCGGTGGTAACACCGTTTCCACCCATGTTTCTTTAGATTCGATATTAGATATCTCCTTCTCCATGGATTCCAGCCACTTCTCACCATCTGGGCCGTTTACTGCTTCTTCAGGAGAGATAGGATCAATGAGAGAAGTATCACTTTCGATACCTGCGATAGAGGCGAGTGAGACTAACTTATTAGGCTCGCGACCAAAATCTAGGAACGAGTCTGTTAGGCCTGCGAAACGATGGGGGGGTCGAATAATTCGTCCGTGACGTGTCGTCAGGATCCCCTCGTCCCCGTCATCATTTCTTCCTTCCTCATCATTTCTCTCATTTTCGACGATATCGTTCTCATAGATCCAATTTCCTCCCCAGATGCCCTGTCCTCGTCGTCTTTCGGTAGGTTGTGGACCTGTATTAGGTGAGTTGTCTCTGTTGACATCATTTCCTTGTTCATTATCGATATTTTCCTGTTCGCCACTTTCTGAGCGGTCGTCAGGGAAAATTTCTTCGTTGACGACGGGGTCTAGGTCCACTTCAATGGCGTCAAGAGGGGTTTGGATGACGTCTGGCGACTCTCTAGTCGTCACCATTCGTCCTGTCGAGCGACGAACGTCTCGTGAGTGTTCGATTCGTCCCGATCCGTCCATTCTAACGATCCAACCGCTCACACCCTCATCCTGACCTAGTATGATGGCTGACGAACCCCTAGGAATCGTGAAGTTCGACTTCAGCCTTATCTCTCTCGGTATTTGAACAAAACATCGTTCACCGAATCTCCACACACTATCTAAATTGGTGTCTCTTCCTGTGAGTGATGTCCACCCTGATTTTCCAGTAACACCAATCGATGTTTTCATGATTATAATGGCGGCGTATCTGACAGCATAGGACCAATATTCGTTCGGTAGTCCCAAGTCAAACAACATTGTTGATACCATCCCCTTCAAGGTACGTATCATTCTTTCCGCCACTCCATTTAACTCTGGTGTGTATCTTGGTGTGATGTAGTGGTTGATCCCTGCTGACAGGTAGAATTCCCTCATATCGAGGCTATCGAATTCACCTCCCCCATCAGACCTAATCACCCTCACCCTTTCACCAAGCTGTTTCTCTAATTTCGAAATACACTGTCGAACGATATCTGACGATTCGTTCTTCGTCGTTATCGGTATCGCGAATACAATTCGACTTGCCCTTTCCACACCAACGAAGAAATATCGTTCACCTTTTATCGCCGGACCGAACGGGCCAGCAATATCGACATCCATTCCTACTCCTTCACCATCTCCTTTCAACATTGGTGCTTCTTTATTCTTTGGTAGACGTGTTATCTTGGCCTGCATACAGGCGGGACAATTATCGGTTGTAAAGGGATCGTTCTTGTAAGTGTCCCAGTCCTTCTTTAATAGTCCCTGTCTACCTAGACTCTTTAGTTTATCTACACCTATATGTCCGAGTCGCTGATGCTCAGATTCAAGTGGTGAAGTCGCCTTCGGTGTCGATATCACGATCATCGCGGCAGACATTGCTCTGCCGAATCGTACCGACCACAGTGAGTCATGTTTCCTCAAACCTAGTTTCTCTTTACCTTTACCTATCCATCCACCACCGCTGCTTAGATTCGCCTTCCATCCCCATGAGAGTAACTTCGAGAGGGAGAGAAGACTTATCTTCGCTGTAGGGACGTGATGTACATCTTTCAGTACCATTTTCTGTCCTGAATCTAGTTCGAGGTTAATGTCACCTGTTTCCCAAGCCGTCATTGACTTGCCAGATGCTAGTCCGAACACTCTCGGTTCCACTAGTCTTTTAATATTCGTCATTATCGACCTGTGAGGAGTTATATGGTGAGTAGCACCACTATCCACTACCCAAGTGGGGATTACACGAGTGTGGCTTACATCATTAGACTCTGTAGCTAATCCCACCCACTCATTATCCTTATCCTCAACCCACGGGTTTTCAATTTCTTCAGGCCACACGATGTTACTCGTGTACCCTGCGTCATCATCGAACCATGATTCTGTCGACATGGCCATCCCGGCCCACGCCTCATGTTCACCATCCAATGACGAATACATCAAGGAGGTTTTGGAGTTATCCTTGGACTGGTTCTCATCCTTCGAGACCGTATGTCCTTTTTTATTATTCTTATTATTATTATTCCTCCATTTCTTTTTACCTCCATCCTTTCCATCTGCGTTTTCTTTCCTGTTCGTATCCTCTCTTTTAGGTTTACGACAGTACTTCGCTAGATGTCCTACAGTGTCACAGTTATAACACTTTCTGGTTTCTTTCCTGGGCTGACCATCAGGGATATTATCTCGGTTCACCCTCATTCCTTTATTTCCTTCGACGAACATCGCGAATCCCTTTCTATCGGTTCTACCAACAGGGCGCGCCTTACGTCTTGCCGTTTCTTTATTGAAGATCGATAAAACCTTCTCCCAAGTTCTCTCCTTTTCTATGAGGGATGTTACTTCGATCTGGATGATCCTGTAGGATGGTGCTAGGATGGTATTGAGGAATAACCCAGCTCGATCCTGTGAGTCAAACTTCAACCCCACCAATTTTGCTTCGGACATCGTCTTCGAGAAATCCTCCACATGCTTAGCCATTTCTTCGACCGTCGCATCGTCCCTTAAGTCATAGCTAAACAACGCTTGACGGACATTCCTTTGATTCTCGATCGTCGATGTTACGTGTATTGCTGTACAGTAATCCCACATTTCTTTAGCTGACATCTTCTCAGATATATCAAGCATCACAGCATCCAACACTGTTCCCTTGATCATCCCCTGCGCTTTATTCTCCCTCGCTTGCCACTTTTCCCACTCCTTCAACTCTTCTCCAGTAATCCTTCTACCAACCGCTTGCCCTTCGACGGGCGTGGTAGGAGGTACTGACCCCGCTCTCACTGTCGTCGGCCTGACCCCTACGCGACCAGGTTCGGTATCATCACCTGTGACGATATTCCACACGTCACCTATCTGTAGATACACCTCGATCGACTTCCTCCACGGAGCATACGATGCTGGATCGTGGGATAACTTTGGGTGGCTCTCAAGAGAGATCTTAGACGACACAGAGGTCATTATGAGGAGAGTTAGAAATGGGAACTTGCCTTTGTTATATTATACACAGAAGGTATGTGACTTCCGACTGTTAATCTGTTAACTGATAATTAGATGATAATACAGAGGGAAAAAGAGCATGCATCAATTCTACATGTCTCTATACTTATCACATTCCACTCACACGCATAAAACCAGAGACGATCGAATAAAGTTCAGAGGATAAGTTGAACGGAGAAATATTCGACGGAAGGGGTAATTATCTAACGGCGGTTCGGCCGTCCTGGCCCGATTCTATCGGCTAACATGGGCGGACATGTCACTGCCAACAGAGGAGACCCTTTCCATGATGGATGCTATGATTCGTTTTCGTCAGGCTTACTGGTCAGTGTGGGACTATAATTTACCTTGGGAACGTGTTAGTGCGTCGGAAATGCTGCTGAATAAGGCCAAAGTGGTGAATGAGGTTTTATCAAGGTTGATGACTGTTGAAGACGTGACCCATGATTGAGTGTGGAGTACGGATGATTATGAAGGATATGATCATCATGCATCTGATAAACAAGATGAGAGTTATTGGAACGCGCTTCACCAACTCATACTTGCTTTGTAGCCAGCTTTCAGGGAGAGAAAGACGTAAAAAAGATTGCCGATTGGTCCACTATCGTTCCGTGCGTCCGCCCACCAGTCGGCTGTACGTCTACTTAGCCATCATGTACTTTGATGCCTCAAGGAGAGGCAAAATGACGTTGTGTCAGCATATATGAGGGCGACGAAACACGTTTGAGCACTCGTCACGTCATCGACTCCGTGATCATAACCCTGCTGAGCTGGACAAGGGAGACTCAGATGCCATGCCTAATCATGACATCCTACATATCTTGAGCGAGCCTTCTTTGGACCGGCGGAAATTCCTTAGGCCATTGATCATTCAATAGTTCATGATTTATATACTTCTTGAACACATTACTTTTCCAGATCACACAACAGCCCAACCTCAAATAACTTCTTCACACTTTGGTCCACAGGCCAATCAACATGTCATCTTCACAGGGGATCTCATATGTGCTAGACCCCGAGCAGTCCAATATCACTTCAATGATACAGGTACTAAGTGGTATCAGTCAGATTGAACGCTTTGGAGAACCAGATACATTTCTCATGGAAGAACTTGCCAAACTCCAGGACTCATATGTGTCTTCACTCCAAGAAATGCGTAGGACATTCCAGTTTGCCCCTTGGTTTGACCTCCGCTCCGACGATCCAGCCAGATCTGTCCTCTTACGTCAGAACATACTCCACACACAGACCAGCTTGGACGTCAGAGACAGGAATGAATTGGCAGAAATCAACAAGTTCATCCGTCAAAGGTATTATCTGACCGACACAGCTACCGGATTGTTGAATGTGACACTCATATGTCATTCAGATCAATCCCATACTGGACAGTCAAGTGTTACTCACCCCTTCACTCCTCCATCTCTCAACGATATCATGAACAGGAAATGGCACTATTCCAATGACAGTGAACGGTCTCGTAGACAAAATTATTTCATGGAGCCGGCGAAGTCATTTCGGATTGACCAACAGATTCTCTCAGATCTGTGGGTGAACCAAAAGCCAATATCTATGGTGCAATCAGCCCTGATCCTTCCAGTTGTCAACAATATCATGTCCTACCCTACTGCAACTTTTGTGGAGTCTGTCAGAAACTTGGTTACTCAGTGGTATGATGGTCAAATTACTTTTCCTCAAGATGTTTGGGTGTCAATGTCCCAAGGAGTCGAATCTCTTTGGACAGCCTTGAGTGATGCGGACTTATTTTTGCAGAAGGGAGATTATGTGTCCATAGCACGGTTGATGCTGCCTCCTGCAGAGGAGGTGAGTAAGGTTTTAGCAAATCTCATGGTCATATAGCAGCCAGGTATGCTTTCAAGTGATAGGGTGAAGATTGGGATCTGACAGAACGCACGGGTCTCATATAGTATCACCAATGATAGTGGGCAGAGGTGTGTACATACTGTGCAAGTGTGATGGGAGGGAATGATGATGCAAAAGATAGTCAATGATGTACTTTAGTATGTGAGAAGACACACACAATCTCGGCAATGCAATGACAGGTCTCAGATCTCAGTATTCACGCCCAAACAGCCTGTTTCCTGAAAGCTAGGGTGACTGAATCTGCTTTTTTAAGATGATACACTATGAGACGCAAACCTTTCATCAATATGGCTTCTCAGGGAGAGTTATGAGGCATGTATTGACATGCGAGACCCTTTCAGTCAGTAATTTGTCTCAAGTGTCAAAACATATTATCAATGATCATCAAGCACACCATCAACTCTCAGACCAAACTCAGCTGACTTGACAAGGGATACTGGCTCATGGTGTGCAGCTAAGAATTTGATATTTTGCCGTTGCGTCATTGGAGGGAGAAGTAAGTGTTTGGAATTGTTTTCAATGAATCAAACACTTCCTTCTTTCCCTCTCATCCTCAACGTTGCATCCAACCATCATACAGCACTGTCAAATCTCAAGACGTCACAAGGGTACATACATACAGACTACTCAATAATCACAGGTCAATTCATCACCACATGTCCTTCCTACCTGCTTATACACTTGACCCTGACCATTCCACATTCCTGGTGAGTACTCAAACAATTGCAAACCTTTTGGCCTTGAAACCCACGGACCGCTTTCTCAAAACCCAAGTGGCCCTGATTGTGACAGCACGTTCTCAGCTTGCTCAAGATGCTCGAGCAGCATACAGCCTTGCTACCTGGTCATATAACCCTGATGAAGATCCAGAGACATCGCTCGGATGGCGTCGCGTGGAGTTACAAGACTATCTGGTCAACGGACAAGGAACTCAATCGATTTCGGACCAACTGGAAAGACTGGACACACTCTTACCCCAAATGTCTCGGCTACGCCATAACGCTGTGTCTGTATTGGATATCGCAATGGTGCGTTGTAGGGATCTAGGGAAATCAATGACTTATTGTAACGACATCTATCAGCTCTCCCCTCCTGTCCATGATGGGTTGCAATTGTCAGAGTGGAGATTCACCACGGATTCGGAACGTAAGCGAAGGAGAATCTACCATACTGCGCCGTGGAAAACTTTCTTGGAAGATCAGAAGATTCTCAGAACCATACTGCAGGATCAACAGAGAATGGCAGAACTTGTCCCGCACGAGTCGCTCCTCTCGGAAGCCGTCAAGACTTTGTCAATGACCGCAGGGGATGTTGTGACTAAGTGGATTGATGGTGACGGAGACTTCCCTGATGCGGGAATAGAAGAGATGTCGAACGCTATCAATGGCTTAGGGGAAATACTTGACAATGTGGGGGAGATGACAGAAGGGAATTTAGTGAGCTTGATAGAAGTAGGAAAGATGATGCTGGCTAGTGCGACGCCTGTCAACATAGCCTTATCAAAGTTGATGGTAGTTGAAGTCTCATCCATAGCCAGTGAGGAGTAATGTCCAATTTGAGCGGCTGTCAGAACCTATGCATGATTGAGTGATAGTTCATGCATATAGCCTGAGGCAAAGCATAGATGAGCACGGTCAGCACAGAGCCTCTTCATGGCATACATATCCACCATGCTTGGATAGTATGTGGACTGTGCTAATTACTCAGTCAAAGATTCAGAGAGATTGTCTGAAATGCCTTATGCAGCTGGCGGCTTTCATTGTTGATCTAGAGCAGGGAGATCCGTCCGTGGAAAGAAGTTGTGCGTCCATGATAGTGAAACTCGAGAAACGTGTGCAGTATGAGCGTGCTGTTACGTGACCCACGGAAGCCGTGATACTTCGGAGTGTCACAGGAGTAATCATGACTGTTGGAAGATCATGACCTACCAAAGAAATCGTGCCAACTTTACTAGAATCTTTCCTGGCCCAATTTTAATACATGACTAGGTAGTTGATGTCTCACTCTACAATGTTCAGCTAGAGATACACGCTGGAGATGCATGTTTCTCCTCATTTTTGATGTTTTTCTGAAGATCATTGTCTGATTTTTCCCTATCATGCATGGAGAAAATCAAGTGAAAAATCCCTCTCGGACTTTCTCACTACTTCCAACATCTCTCTATAAAAAGGGATGCTTGTTTGAAGCAGTGGTAATTGGTGAGGAGTGATTCTTCTGTGGGTCATGGTCCCATGATCATGACCCTTCGAAGTGGCACGGATCTTCTGAGGGTCACGCTATCCCCCATGACGCTCCGAAGGGTCACGGCTTCTGTCCGTCACCTAACAGTGCCAATGACCAATCATCAAGTCTTCCGTGCGGCATCAAAGGTGACGGATACATGTAGCATACTGTGTGTGACCCCTGAATTACAAGTGTAAGGAAGTCAAGATGACAACATTTGACACAAGAAGGCAACAGTCCGCCTTAAGATGTCTCTCTTTCACTGTTTGAGAGTCGAGCACGTCACTCAGTTGACTAAGGATTCAAGCACGGACTGTAAATTGGAGACATTTAAACAATTGACAGTATCCGTGCGGATTGTTAACAGCTGTTACTCTAGATACTACAAGAGACTCGTGCCCTGCAGAATCTGTAGCACCCAGTCTACCAACAATACGACCACAATTCACAGTACAAGTACTCATCTGAGAAGTTTCTCAACATCTCACATCATCACACTATGTCAACATTACCAGCCTACACCATAGACAAACGACATGTTGATCACGAGACAGGCTTACGAATGCTCTCACTTCTAGCCGAACAGAATCAAGCGGATACATTCATCCAATCGGCGGTACGTAACCTGCTGCGAGCGGAAGATCAAGCCGCGAGAGATTTTTGGGAAGCTTATTACATCCTCCCTTGGTTACCAGTCCCGACAACGGACAGGGTTCAAGAGCTTACTTCTCGCCAAGCGTCATTCCAGGCCCTCATAGAAAGTAATCAGACCCCTGGCCAGCTACGTCGCCGACAAATGGAAAGCCTCAGCACACTTCTACCCCATGAGTTCGATATAAATCACGGTATCACAATGTCACTAGATTCAATCCTAGTACGTAGCTATACATTGGGTTACTACACTTCAAATAGTCAATCGGTTTTTCAAGTCAATCCGCCCCATCCAGATACCCAATGGCGGCAAGAGTGGAGAAGAGCAACAGATGAAGAAACCACAAGAAGACTACTCTATCATCAACCACCATGGGGGATCTTCTCGGACCATCAGCGTCAGCTTTCCGCTTATCGAGATGATCCTGACCTTGGCGATAGGGCGCACGCTCAATTCTACGAAACAGTGGACAGTTTGACTGATCAATGGGCTACGGGAAGTCTTTATTATTTTGAGGGGGAATGGGGAGTGATGAACAATGCTATCCAAGATCTTGAGCAAAGTTTAGTGAACTCCAGACTCTGGCAGGAACAAGAAGGGACGCGAGAGGAAGCTTCACAGATACTTCTCACCGGGTGCCAAGGAGTCAATGAAGTGTTGGCTAGGTTGATGACAGTCGACCTCCCTTCCTCCGAGGCGTATATCGAAGGGACCACGGAGGAATAATTTGAAAAAATGGAATGACACCTGAGCGCCATTGAGTCCTGATTGGATGAGATATTGGAGGCTATATGCAGTCCTTGAGGTGTTGAGCGGGATTGGTGAGGTACATCTACCTATATCATGATTATGATATGTTGGAGCACAGTGTTCAAAATGATGAGGTACAAAGCAATGAGCTTTTACCCTTGCAGTTCTTGTTGTTCGTCCAAATCCCTGCCGCCTTCTTCTCATTGTGTGACTCACTACCCTGGGTCCAAGTTTTGGCCCTGGCACCCCGAGCTACACGTTGAGGGACCCACATGTCAACATCAAAGGTTCCTTTGACTACTCTCCTTCATCTCCTTTGGCCAAGCATCTCCGGTTTCCTCATGTCTCAGGATTGAATCCTTTCACGGTACAGTCCCTGCTTCATCTGACAAGGAGTCTTGGCTCAAGCGTGATTACTTCTATGTCAAAAAGTACAAGAAGTCAAGCATCATCCACCAACCAGGCAAACATCACCGTTGGTATTGCTTGACGGGACTAGTCCCTTTCTGTGAGACTGTGTTAATCTCAGTTTACAAGACGTCAAACGTGGTAGAAGGTCTACAACCGTCATGTACATCCTAGGAAGAAGCGACGATTCGGGAGATTCGAATGGAGGTGTCGGGGCCACTCTTCAAAATGCCGAGACTTCCATCTCGGATGACAAGACGGGAACGTATATCTGTCAGTAGTACCTCATGGATCCGAACAGTTTTGCTGATCTTCAGATATCATCCCAGCAGTAGTTGCGGTTCTATTGATCCTTTTTGTTGCTTTTCTCATCTGGCGTTATCCTAACCAATGCTGCTCAACATGGCAGAGTCGTCATCGGAAATGTACCTTGTGCAGGAAACGCATGCATGCGGGTGAGGAGGAAGTGAATGCGATGGGTCCAGGGTGTTTGGGTAGGCCTAAGTTGGCGCATTCCAAATGTGTTCACGAGAAAAAGAATGGAAAGATCTATGATCCAGAGTGAGGGCAGTTTTTGCTGCTTTATAAGTGTCATAGTGTACCTCCCAGTCATTACCTACAAGTACGAGTAGTTGTCACGAGTGTACAATGTAATAATGGAAGAAAGTGCCACTTTCGATCGAGTGCCACATTGCCACACTGAGCACGGATCGCGTCCTCCTCCGCTCCATCTTACTTGTACTGGTGATTGACATCCTTCTCATCATATTTGACATCGTTGCACTATGAGCAGGTCACCCTCTCTTACCCCGTCAGACGCAGAGCTTCTCGAAGATCTTCCAGACTCATTTGATTATGCAGCTCATCGAGAAAAACGGCTACAAGAGCTCGCCGAGGAGATGGCGCGGGTCCGAGAACTGCAGGCTGAGGGGAATGTGGGAAGGGTCGTCACCTTGACAGAGGAGCAGGAGTTGGTTCAACGTATAGCGTATGTTTCTGCCTCTTTTCACTCTCTCGATTCTCCACCCATCCCATGCTTCTATAAGCCACGGCCGTCGAAACAACCCCCTCTGCCTGCAACCACCGCTGTCATGGAATGTCCACTGATCAGCAGCAAGTCCAGATACTGTCTTGTCCACTTCTTCCATCCCTCATTTCCCAAGTGCAAAACTATGGATAGTCGTCTTGCTCAACTAGCCCCCAGATATCGGAATACAATCTTCCTCCGAGCATCAGTAGCGGACACCCCCTTCTTTGTCGGCAAATTCGGTATACAGGTCTTGCCATGTGTTCTGGCCTTCATGGATGGACAGTTGCGGGATCGGTGAGACTCAAAGTAGATTACCTGAACATCGACTGATATGTAGGCTGATAGGGTTTGAAGAGTTGGGAAATAGTGATAGTTTTTCCCTTTCAACCTTAGAGTTCCGATTGAAACATACAGGTGAGTCTCCCTAGAGCCGAGCCACGCCGAAGAAAAAGTACGACAATTTGATGCGTAGGAGTGCTCATTACAACCGAGGAGATACGTCAGAGAATAGTGGGAGACGAAACGAAAGATGGTAGCGACTCTGACGACGAACGGCAGAGAAGGGAAACACGAAGAGGAAAAACAGGGATTCGAAATGGTATGGCCTCCACTGGCTTGGGTTATGACGATTGAGCTGTATGTAAAGTTGTAAGTTCCCAGCTGGCAGGTCCTCCACTGACATTCAGAAGGCTACTGGAATTCATCATTGCATTGTATTTCATCTATCCTTCCGTAGCATTTCATCTACCTGCCCTATCCCTCAGCGCCGACTCGTGTTTGACATTCCTCATCTCCGTGTCACAACATCACCACTACTCACAAAGATTATAAACCTGCATAGCCCTCGACCCACCTTGAAGATCTCGATAAACCCTGCATGACATGACTTGATCAGCCCTACCTTCGCTCCCTCAATCTATTAGCCCATTTGTTCCCGCCCGATGATCCTGAACCAGGTGTACCTCCTCCCGACCCCGTCGCCATTCTTACTTTTGGTGGCGGCGCAGGTGCCAATGCGCCTTTCGGAATCGTTGGTCGATCCCTAGGATTACCCATAGGAATCAAAATCGTCGTTCTTGGGCTTTGAGGTACCGAAGCGTTCTGCAGGGGATGCGAGAGCCAATCAGACTGGAAAGCATTGGCGAAAGTTTGTTTGACCCTTTCGACCAATGGCGCTACTACTGGTTCGTTCACAGGAGGTATTTCACCTACTGGAGGAATTTCCAACTGATGTTTCCCTCGTTGAGATAGATCAGGATCCTGGTTCCGAAGGGCTGGTTTGAGCGGTTTTCGACTATTCGAACTCGTTCCACCTAGTAACTGATCGACTTCGTGGTCTAATCCAAGCGTCGACTGTTTGGTAGGTTTCCGAGCTTGGAGGGCTTGGAGTTGGGCAGCTTGTTGTTTGCTCAGGTGCTCCCGAGGCTCCGTGGGTTTCCTATTAGGCGCGTGTGGCAGACGGGATGGGTGAGTGGGATCGGTGGAGTTTAGTCTGGTGGGTTGACGGGTGTATGCTCGGGGAGGTGGGATGGGGAGGGATGGTGTTCCAGAGGACAGGGTGGATTGAGTTCGAGGTGTTCGGACGGGTGGGATCAGTGGATTACCTGCGCAATGGTCAGTATTTACTCATTCAGTCTCACTGACATTCTACTGCTACTTGGAATGAGGTGGAAGGTTCATCGGCCCGAACAGAGTCTTTCCGCCGGTGGTATCCCCTTTACTGACATTCAATCGGGAACTCCCACTTCCCTCGGCGTGGTTGAACCAACCTCTACTGTCGACGGGCTTCTACTCACCGCGTTCGCTCCAAACTGTCCTGATTTTGAGGAGGCGGGACATAGGAAGGTCACCAATTCGAGAAACCAGAGAATCGGAAAGAAGTCAGGAAATACTCACCACTACCTCCCGATCCTTGTCTATTGCCTGCCAACCTCCTCCCTTCTCTCTCCCTAGCGCTCCACTCGTCCAACTCTCTATTCGCTTCATCGACTTTCTTTCTCCTCTCTATCCCTTTCCTCTCTTCCACTCTCACCACTTCCTGTTCTTTTCTCATTTCCACTCTCCTTTGCAATTGTCTCAATTGTAAAGCAGCCCTTTTGACAGCACTAGCAGTTGAAAATCTTTTCCAAATCGAATCTCTCCTCCCCAATGTCCCATCCTTCCCCCCATTCTCCATCGAATCCGGTGTCAAACTTCTTCTTCTAGGAGGATACCTATCTCTTCTTCCTCTTCTTCTATCCCTCTCTCTCCTACCCCGACGTCCTTGTCCGTACCTCCTTCTCGGTCTTCGTCTCCTTCGTATCGTCCCACCATCCGAGACTGAATCATACTCCGTATCATCCGTATCAGTCTCTGTTTCTGAATCAAAACTCGAACTGGAATCCGTATCGCTTTCCGTCTCACTATCCGATTCCACTCTCCTTCTCCTTCTTTTCTTTTTCTTCCTCTCCGCTTTACGTTTCGCCTTAGCTTCAAGTTTTGCTTCTTCCTCCAATCGACGTTTTTCAGCCAGAGCAGCTTGTTGTTCTTCTTTATCTAATTGTTGGGCTTTGGCAATGTTTTCCCTTGATTTCTTACGATGTTTCATCCATACCCATCCTACTATCCCTAAAGCTCCCAGACCACCAACGACGACGCAAAGGAGTTGCCACCAGGACAATCCAGCCAGCGCCGTTGCCCGTCTCACCAATTCCGTCCTCTTCCCAATAATCTCGGAAGGATCATACCCAGATATCTCACTCCGATTCCATGGAGGAGAGTTGAAAGGGGAAGGAGTGAATGAGGGATGAAATGGTGGATCATCTCCTGTGTAATGATGAATAGGTGGCATTCCTCACTTCACTCATCCCGCTTTTTCTCCCTCCCCTTCGCTCTTTTTCGACTACTTGGTCTTTAAATTGCCCTCCTCCTGGACGACTCACCAATGAGCGTCAGGAAGAGTCCCTCGAATTCTTTTGACTCTCCTCAGTAACCGCTAAATCGTTTTTCTCGACTACGCCAACCGAGAAGAGAGTATACAAGTTGAGTGATCGTTTGGATGACTCTCTACTTCTTCAATCGTTATTAGGAGCTTTTAAGTGAGTATGATGTTAATTTCAGTTCCGAATATTTGAGTTGACGGTCAGAATGAACAGCTGAGACTATACGCAAACACCACCTGCGTGGTTGATACTAGTATGTGGCAAGTTAGATACACAGAACGGTCATAATTGACATTGAAGTCTAGCGGGAAGGGAGGTGATGAAACGTTCAAGGGGAGGGAAGAAAGGAATGACAAACAAAGGATGCTTTTGTGAGTGGGTACGTTCCAGTCAATCCCCTTATAAACCGTCATATATTCCTTGCATGGATCTGAACCTTTCTACCTGGTTCTTTTCTAGGTAAGTAAGTCAAGTGCAGGACACTGTGTTATTGGGGCTGGACCCTTCGCCGAGACAACCGTAAAGTGTAATCAAATAGACTTGTTGAAGTGAAAAACGGTCAGTGTATATACCCGGTCCAGCGACACAAATCCTGCATGACCTAATCATATGGTAAGAAGCTAGCTGATCGCCCAGGAAACAAGATACAAGAACAACATTGGCAGACTTAGCGATACATATACATATATTTTCATGACAAATTTTGGGATAAGTCAAGGGGAAATATCGACGATGAAAGAAAGTGTCCGTGTAGGAAGTTTAAACCCATTTCAATGTGTATTGAAATTATCAAATTTACCATCTTCTGTTCAACCGATTCATATACGACATATACTCACTCATCCTCCAAAATGGGGTGGGAGAAAGAAGGTTGATCCGGGTATAGAACTGTGAGTTTTTTCTTCATCCCTCCTTGTCTTCTCCTCCTCCATCTTCCACCGTTTATCCATTTGGCTTTTTGATTGTATCCTTTATCATTTTCCTTTCTATATTTCTTTCAGCCCTTCACGTTCTACCACTTTTGATACAAAACGCCCCAGTATTCGTCACACTCGTCATCACTTCTCTAACCCCTCTTATTCCTGGCCTTCTTGATCTTTCTGAGTCTTGACGATCTATCAATCAGAATGTTGAACTTTGATATAAGACAGACTGGTATTATGTATCTGAATGAAATTCCTATGACTTACTTTAGAATTCAAATCTATACAATCCCAATCCCCTCAAAAGCTACACGGTTTTCACGTCGTCGATATTCTCCTTCATCATCTTCCACTTCCACTCCCAATACATCCAAATCGTCTTTACCTAACATACCATCCACTCGAACGAGCTTAGGCTCATTAGGATCTACCGATACCCAAGAATCGAGCATTACAGCAATAAGAAATACTCAAAGCGTTGTGAGAGAAGTCGGATTTGATGAGAACACCGAGTTAGTGTCGACTGTTGAAAGAACGAATACGAGTGTAGATGAAATGGATACTGTTGCTTATATTCATTTTAGAGGAGAAAGTTATCGTAAGTTTTCCTACCTCGACCTACCTCTACTTTCTCAACTTTGGTATCATATCTCTTCATCTCTTCCATATTGAGCATACTTTGATTTGTGTTACTTTCTCCCTAGAATTCCCGTTAATCTGGACCAAGATGTATCATTTCCACAACTTCATGAAGGACTTCAAGAGGAGGTCATATTGAAGTGGGTTTGAAGAGAAAGGAGGAAACAAAAGAGAGCAAGGGACTGATTAAAATAGTCTGGTTAGCTTCTAGGATATTCATAAATGTTACCATTGATGGTTTACCACCTGTAGTTAAAATAAAAAGGTTCACTTCTGCTCCTTTTCGTAGATTGATACGACGTATAAAAGTTTGTTCCATTCGTGTTTCTTAAATCTCAGTTCGCTCCTTTGACTATTCGTATGGTAGATGGTAGATAGTTGCTCATGATTCATTGGCCAGTGTCATTGGAAAAGTCTCACACTCGTTTGTTGTACAAAGTATAAATGTTGTGGAAAATGTATTGAAAACAGTAGATGATAGATGATAGAGTTATATGATTTGTGAGCTATTGCTCGTACTCGAACACGTACTCGATGCGAAAACACCCAAGTATACATACTTGTACATCCCTACATACTGACTTAAGATCCATTATGTGCACTACCTCCTACAAATTCATTCTCTCTAAACTTTCCTCGATCCCTCATCCCTCATCCCCAATAGTCATCACACTTCCTTTCCCATCGAGATCTGTTTACGTCCCACTGAATCTTAACCCCCCCCCCTTGCCCCAACCAGCGATAAGTCACGTTTCATATCCCAAACCAGTCGCAACACAAAACCAACAACAGACTAACACTAACTCCCCTCAACCTCATCCATAGCAGTGATCAACCTACTAGTAGCTTGAAACATTAAACCAGCTCTTTGAGTTTCAGCACTACCACCGTTACTTTCTCTATCACCACCTTCTTTTGCTTGTTGTTGAGCTGCCAACCTCATTATCTCTTGAGCTTTCCTTTCGAAAGCATTAAAGACTTCTCTGACCGCCGCTCTCCAACTATCCCAAACAACTCCGACTATATGTTGTTCGATAGCTTCACTTAAACCCGTCCCACTTAATCTAGCACCATGTAAAGTGATTTGAGCAGAACCGGATGGTGAAGAAGAAATAGGTGGGAAAGGAAAAGTTAAAACCGTGGTCGTTCTTGATAATAAAGCTAATTGTGGTAATGTTTGATGAGGTATATTACAATGTGAACATTGTGTTAAAGAATGTAATAATCTTAAAGCTCTTGAAAGTGGTGAAAAAATCGATAATGTTAAAGGTGTGTTGGCTCCTGGTTTAGGTTCTAAAGCGTGTTGTGATAATAATGATAAAACGTGTGGAACTAATTGTTGATGATTACATCCTGAATAAAGTGATGGGAGATTTAAAGTATCTGATGATGGAACTGTATCATCGTTTATATGAGATAAATCCAAAAGAGCTAAATGAGGATCATGGGAAGATTGATCTTGATCTTCTCCATTATCGTGATGATCGACAGAAGGTTCAGGATGAACTGTTATACCTGCTCCGGATTCGTTCAGAGAGAAAATGGCATCTCGAAGTGCGGACGTGGTGTGTTGATCCATATCGCCTGTAGAGGGAAAATCATCGGCGCTGAAGTGCGGTTCGGGAGGTGGCGGTGGAGCAATGTAGGGGAGATTACGGACGTAAGTCGCCAAGGGGAGATCGGCTAAGTACCCGTCGATGGCGATGGATTCGAGCTGGGGTCAGTGGTGATTCGATAGTATGGATTGAAGCACAGTAGATAGAAAAGCGGCGGCGGGACAATACGAATGACAGAACCGTTCAGAGATCCAAGTGATATGGGAAGAAGCCTGTTGGGAAGAGAAATTGTGCACGGACGGACCAGGGAAGAAAGAATATGGGGAAGACATATGGTAGAAATCTCGAAATGGGTGAAGGCAAAAGGCAGCAAAGTGAGGCGGACAAACAGCCAAAGTGCCTAGACGAAGAAAGATTCACTCACCATCTGCTCCTCGGTCATACCTATCATCTCCTCCCCATCCTCCTCCGTCCCCAAACCCATGTCCAAAGCGATATTCATCGCCATTTTGTCAACATCGGCATAACTCCAACTATCCCTCACTCCCAACTTTCTCTTCTTCGGTTGAGGAGGTGGTAAAGCCATATTGGCATGTAATCTGGGACTGTCTGATTTTTGGTCTTTAGGTGCGGTCCGACGCCGTTGACGTGGCGCGTAGACGCATTGCCAGCCACCTGCTTGACAGCGGGTGCAAGTTGGGCGATCTCCTGAGCATTTCTACAGGTCAGCGCGGGTCACCATGTTACATGTAGATGATACGACAGTGTTTGTCGAAAGTAGACTTACTTGTTTTGCCGCGTGACACAAGTCACAAGCTGATACATTAGCTTTGTTCACGAGGCAATCGAGTGAGGTAGATGTATCAGGCGAGATTGAAAGGTATAGATCAGAGACGCCCACAAGCGTATGGAGTGGGTCGCCGTTGTTGTCCCCAAGGAACGGTAAGACTGGTGCCAACATTGTATCATCATTTCGGGATAGTAGGATGGTGGGTGGAAAGGAGAGAGTGAGGGATTGAATGTGGCAGTGGGAGCGAGTGCAGAGGTGGCTTAGTTGGATTATGAGGTGTGATGGTGAGTGTGCAGGTATGAGGGTGAGGATGAGATTGAAGAGTTATGGAAGTATAGATGTGTGTTCATGGGAGGTGAGGATGTTGCAGTGATGAGAGGGGAATGAGAAAGGAAGAAAAAAACGTACCCTTTCGTATACTCGGTGGTCTCCCATATCCACCTCTAGGAGATAAATCATCTCCCATTGTCAAACCTAAATCTCCCAAACCATCATCCCCATCATCTCCAACGGTAGGGATGTCCAATTGGTTTATATCCACCTGATCACCTCCATTCTCTTTATGATCTGAGAAATTAGGTTGTTGTAGAGTATGATGAAACGATTGAGAATGATGATGAGTCCTTAAACCTAATTGATGCGCTGCTGCTGCGGCTGCACCTACAGCAGAAGCTAAAGCTTCTGAGTCCGCTTGTTGTTGAGGATCCATCGTGTCCATTTTGTCAATAAGAGTGTTCTAATACGCTGGACCTGTAAAGTGGAGGTGGTGTATTTGATGGTTGCCACAGTCGGTGTTGTAGGAGTTTTCACCAAAAGCCCCAAACGGTCAACGGGACGAGGGAACGATATCACCGCTCAATCTTTTCGTTTTTAACACTTATACTCTCGACTGTTTTTCGCTGCATGTCAATTCATGATCGATCTGTCGACATGATGCACTCACTTTGTATGACTGGATGCTTGTGATATGGATGTATACGATGGATGGGTAGTTCGGCGATAAAGAGGGGTGGAGAGGTGTGGCGATGTCAACAAAGGGGCGAGAAGGCTGGTGGGGGGCAAGGGAAAACACCGAGTAACGCCGAAGGGTGTGGCGGATTAGTCAGCGAGAGAGAGAGTTCCCTTCCTTGTTGCCACTCCGGCTACAAAAGCTATATGTAGGCTATATGTTTTGTCATCCTCTCTGTCTCTAACACCTTTGCTCTTTCATCCTACATCACTTACTGCATACATTTACCACTGAAAGATCTCATTCGTAAACATGTCAGCACCTCTGGTAACATTCAAAAGACCTCCTCGTAGACCTCAAACCTCGCGTCAACGTTCCCCTTCCCCATCCTCCTCATCCATCCCAGGCCCTTCATCCCAACCTACCGTCATCCGGCCTATCAAGAAAAACCTAGTCAATCCGTTGGTGCAAGGTACCAAGAGACGGCGTGATACGGAAGAGACCGGTGGGGGTCTGGAAGAGTTGGATTATCAAGCTGAAGAGAATCTGAAAGGATCAGGGGATAGATACGCGACGAGGGATTCAGATTGGGATTTAGAGAATGGTGGTGATGAGGATAGGTTCAAGGTGGAGAAGAAAGTCAGATTGAATGAGGTGAGTATGACTTTCTATTTTTTCACGCAATCAATTACTTTAATCTCATACTGATACATTAATCATCCTTCCAATACCCTTCCCCACTTCGTTCAAACCGTGTCAGTTGTACTCATCTTCTTTTCCTAGGTTCAGGATGTTCTCGATGATTTGAAAATATTGAAAGAGAAGAGAAGCTGACTTCAAGGACGGAGAAATAGATACCACACTATACCACGGCATGTCAAATTACCTACCCACTATAAATAAACGTACAGACGTTTTGGATTCTAAAATGAAAACGGGTCCTATCCGAGCTACCGCAAATGTTAGAACTATAACTTTGATGGATTATCAGCCAGGTGAGTCTTTGATTATACTTCTAAATCGTTTACGAAGTGATGAACAATTCACTGACATTTATAGACGTTTGCAAACCTTATAAAGAAACCGGTTTTTGTGGTTATGGAGATAGTTGCAAGTTCATGCATGATCGAGGGGATTATTTAGCAGGTTGGCAATTGGATAAATTAGATCCTTCAGATGCTAAAGAAGTTGAACAAGTGGATGAAGGGGAGGATGTTCCATTCGCATGTTTGATTTGTCGAAAACCATTTACGGAACCTGTCATCACTAAATGTGGGCATTATTTCTGTATGAAGTGAGTTTGACTCATGTTTCCTCTTCATTCCTTCTCTATAAACCGCTTCACTCTCTTTCCTCACCAACTCCTTTATCCTCCCTCAACTTAGCGTCTTAACTACATGTGTCAAAAACGAAATCGAATTTACTAGTCCAGTCTATTTATTCCGTCTCGAAACTCCTTTTTCTAGGATTTCGAATCGAGATCGGGAAAGGCCTCAGTGGAATGATGAGAAGTAAAACTAACAAACCAGTTGCGCTGTCGCTAGATTTGTCAAATCACCAAAATGTTACGCCTGTGGAGCTCCCACTTCAGGTATCTTCAACAAAGCCGAAAAGATCCTAGCAAAGATGGAAGCTAGGAATCAAAAGTTGAGAGCAGAAAGAGGTTTGGTAGATGAGGAAGCAGGGGGTATAGTGTTTGGTGGAGGGGATGAAGAGAGTGAGGGGGATGTTCCTTCTGATGAAGAAAATGTACAATCTGATTCGGGTAAAGGAAGTGAACCTGAGGAATGATTATCTTGGTTCAACGTTAGATCTCATGATGCTGATAAATCTTTGTATTCTTTATGCATCATTGGTATATCCAGTCAAACCCCCTTGACCATTGACCATAGGTTTGGTACTTGCTTACTAGGTCCTGAGGAGACATAAGGTTAGTGAGTGGAGGTCGGGATTGGCCACGTGACATGTAGGAATGTCCTCCGACGTCACTCTTTCCTTGGTCCTCAACATCACTTGACCACCTGTAAAGCCACAACATCAACAACCTTAGCTATGCGTCGACCATACGTATTCATCCTCCTGGGAATGGTGAGTATGATAAGTGAGACGATGGGAGATACATTGGATCAAATGGTAGAAAGGGTAAGCAACCACCTCCATCTCCATCTTCATCTCATTCACTCCCTCACTCCCTCACTCCTTTTCTTTCTCATCCTCAACACCTGATCTCCTCAGTATCCATGGTTCGATCTGTATTCTCACCTCTAAACTGATGACTGTCAACCATGTACAATCATATGAACTCGCTCTTCTCTTCAAACGCTACCCCTCCCTAGACATGTCATCGATCAATATTCCCTCCTCCGGGTCCGGCTACTGATCACTTACCGGTTGGAATTTTGATACTTTACCTTGATACTTTTTTTGTCGCTTTGGTGATTCCAATCCTTAATATAACTCTCCATATCTGCCTCAGTGAGAAAGAGAAGATTAGCTGAGATATATAGACCATGCCATTGAAAACACACTCTATCGCTGCTCCTTATGTCGATAGTGATCTTCAAAACAGATGGTATGTTTATTCTACTTGTTTTCACTTTAAAATCCCTACTTCACATCTAGGTCATTTAAACCGTGTGTCCTATTCATGACTCAAAAATATTTGTTAATCTGTGACAACTCGCCGACTGGGCGGACCGTCTTCGAACCACTTCAATACTTACTACAAGAATCTACCGGCGTTGTCGGGTGATAGTCATCAATGTAGAGATATGAGTTTCCAGATATACTTAACAACCCACTCCATTGGAAATATCGTCACTGTAGATCATGTGTTTCAAGGAATGAGGAGTGTGAAGAGGGTTATGAGTCGTATCATGATTGGAAGAGCTGATGGTAGGTGGGACTTTGGAGCAGATGCTATTGTAGTGAGTTGCCATTTCTCTCCCTGTCCGAACTAAAGTCATGCGTGGTCATATTTTGATTCAAACTTCTCAGACGACAAGAACCTCCATGAGATTCGTCAATGTTTAGTCCAGAAGACGGGAATGATGACCACGTCAGAGAATGGTCTCACTGACATGTAGAATACAAATAAACATATTCGACTGACGCAAGATAGACCAAGTCAGAGTGGTTGGCTTTGGAGTAGAATACCATTGAGCGTAGTGAATTTTGAGATAGAAATTGAGTTTAAAGTGAGTTTAACTCACTCCAACTTCATCCTCAACATTTCTTTGGCATGGATATATCTGCATATATTCATTCAACTTTCTCGCTTTCCGTCTGGTAAAGAAGATGGAAGGTTCTCCCCGATCTGTTGTCAACCTTCTTCTGGTCTTCGTAAATCTTGCTTTCTTTCCATTAGATCACCACTGTTGTTGGGATGGAAACGTGTTCTCCCGTCTACTCCACTTCTCACTGCCCCACCCCCGGACATTGGCAAAAATTTGGACTTTCAATGATGATTTTCAACTGTGTGGCTCACCGGGGACTAATGCTGAGGACAGGTGGATGGAAAAGCGCACAATATGTTCGGCGATGGATTCGCCATATGGTTCACTAAAGAAAGAGCGACTTTTGGGCCTGTTTTCGGTAGTGCCGGTGAGTCGCGACGTTACCGTCTGGAAACGTCTGTAGCCCCCGTTCCTCCTATTCCTGTCATCGTCTCTTCCTCGGATGGTGTGGATGGTGGTATTGGGCTTGATAGACTGCGTTGAGCCATGAGGTGCTCATTGAATTGGCGGACTGACTGTCAGACAAATTCACCGGGTTGGGCATTTTCTTCGATACGTAAGTTTTCCCTCCATTTCCTCCGCCCTTCTTCTCTTCCCAAGTTGCTGTTCTCACCAAAAATGCTCATCCGACGATAAGTCCGCTCGTTCACCCCTCTCTGATACAAAATTATCGAGACAGTATATTATGTATATACAGGGTGTGCTACCAGATGGGGTGAACAAGCGACACGAGTACCTAACTCATCACAGTTATGCAAATGCCAAACACTCGTTCAAGTTTCCAAGAGTTACGGCAATGCTGGGTGATGGACAGGCGGAATACGATAACGGGCATGATAATGCCGCTGGCGAGGTCGCCGGTTGTTCTGTCAGTCTACTCTCCCTCCTTCCTTTGCCTTTGCCTTTGCCCGTATCCCACATACCCTCTTGATCGGAACTATACACTCTGTACAGTGTGATTTCTGCCACCTGCAGTACCTGATTATGCTGACGGATCAAGGAGAACTTCCGGAGACGAGACATACCTACAAAGGCCAGAGTGTCATATATCAAAGGTCGGATCCTGCAGGTATGTCCTCGTTCTTTGTGCTTATGACTTGTCGTCATATATCAGGTATGCTGTGAAATGAGTAAGAAGCTTATAACTAGGTGAAATTGCAACTTCAAAAAGAAGATGAATGGGTTGTATGCTTCGAGACTGACCAAATCACTTTACCTAGTCAACCTTATCTTGGGTTCTCGGCCTTGACGGGGGATGTGTCAGATAATCACGAGTGAGTTCATAAGTCTCTTCCCTCCTCGCAGTGTTAGGTGATCATGTCGGTGTCCGACACACTCGATACACACAGAGCCGTCAAGGATCCGGATTGAGGTGTGTCAGTCATCAGACTTATCAAGCCGAGACGAAGGAAGCTGAGATGGTAATAATTTACGAACTCGAATAATGCTGACATCTAGCATAATTTCAGTCACTGCATCCACCCTTCAGCTTTCAAAAGAATATCGTGATACCCAGGCACCGTTCGTCGGGAGTGCTGGGAGCGGGAAGGGACGCAGGGTTCAACCTCGATCTGGGTCTGGTGCAGCGGGATGGTTCCTATTTATTCTGAAGGTGGGTCCCCGAATGACATGACCCTTCTACCCTTTCTCTCGGTGCTGCTCTGGGCTTTCGTCCGAGTACATTCTCTCCGTCTTTTGGTCTCTCCCCTTGGCCCCACTACATCTCAAATTTCTTCGCTGTCGATCCTCTAATCTGCTTGTTTATGCCCAAAAGACCGAAGTGAATAGGTTTACGGACTGACATACAGATTATAGGATGTCTCGCTTTTGTCGCTTTTGTCTTTGCTGCATATGTGAGTTATTCATCCCCATCTGATGCTCGCTGACAAGAACAGAGAACATACTCTGCTCAACAGAGTAGAAGAGCATGGTGATGCATTTTGTCATCTCACTACTCGTACCCTCATTCGGAGCTCCCGCATCGCAGTCCCTATCTTCCCTTTCTCGCCGATCGTCCGATTCGTGCCTAGGTACTTCTTCCCGTTTGTGTTTTCCTCTTGGTAAATTCAGTCAAAAACTCTCGATTTCTCCAGATCAAAGCCCCCTCCCTGCATTGACCTCCCTCCTCAAATTCACAAAAGATCCATCAATCGATCGTTCACGAACCATGATGTATGGCTTGGGCTTGGCGCTTTCCTTCTCTTTTGGTGACAGCCACAGCCTACATCATTCTCCCATCTCTACTCACCAGTTACTAAACAAGTTGTTTTCTTCTGACAATACGAAGTATATGCATCACTCGCATACGACATGCACACACGGCTCAAACATTCGGCCGACTAGTACGGATTTACCGTATGGTACGGACGGAAGAGTCGGAGAATTAAAAGTTTTTCCGAAGTCCCGCGGAGAAACCCCTAAGAACGGGACAGGTACCCGCAAGAAAAGGCATTCGTTACCGTAAGTCCGGGTTCTTTTTTCTATTCTCTCCTCCCGCCCCTTCCCTCGTTCACTATGAGGGTAGGATACATACTCTTCCCGAGACTTTTCTGTTAACCTCGCCTCTTCCCCCTCTCATGACATTTTTAACAAAGGTACTCACCTACGCCACGGAGTCGGATTAATTCAAACGTGACCAAACGGCGTCGATTAACCCTGAAAAAAGTCATCAGATCACGATGACGTCGTTTATCTCGGGAACAATCTTTGACCCTGTATGGGGTTGAATTTTTCTTTGATGGTTTCCATTGAATCGTCTGCGTCGTCAGAGGAGTTAATCAGGAATGATGAGTGAAAGAAGAACGGGCTTGACGGGAAGGAAGTAGACGGAGTTGAACAGGGCGTACAAGGAGTTTTGTAACACGGGGAGAGAGAGAAAGTGTAGAAGGGAAAACAAGAAATTGGTTGGGATGATGAAGGAGGAGGAGGAAAGAAGAAGAGTCGAGGGGTGATTGATGGGTGGGGATATGAAACGAGAAGAAGAAAAAAAAAAGACGGGTAAAGTTGATTATTCGGTTCTTTCTCCGTTTTAACAAGCCACATTTAATTTGCCAAGGTTTTTGATGATCAGGCGAAGGATGAGAAGCGATAGAGTCAGATGAATGATGGAAGGTTTTTTTTTGGGGGGGGGATGTTTGAGACAGAAGGAGAGAAGTTTCGAATGAGTAGAGAGAGGGGTTGATATAGTCAGTGAGTGAAAGAAAGAATCTTATTCCCCCCCTCCCCTACGTCTTTGGTCGTATTCTTCAAACTCTTCCATTCTCTCTTGTGGTCCAACACCTATCTCGAGATCATTCTTCTTCCCAACATCTCTTCGTTCTTTCTCATTACTTCGACAATCTTTCCCAAACCTTCCTCTCAAACACGGTACACGGTACACGTTCATATCGTAATATCTTAATTTCGACAAACGTCAAAGAGGGAAACATTCTTGATACAAAATGCGTTCTTTCTTCTTATCACTCTCTCTTCTCTTAGCACCTTTAACCACCGCATTGGTCATTGGTCAAGATGATTCATCAACTTTAACAGAACGTAATACTAAGAATCTATGGCAATCGTATTCCGGTCCACCTGCATGTACGGATACAAACAAAAGGAGTCATTGTACTTCTATTGGAAAAGATTGTAATCAGTTTTGTATTTGTATTCCTTGGCAAGGATGTGGTGCCGCCGCGGAATTCTTTTGTTTGTTGGAAGGAGGTCACCTTGGTGAGTTTTTTTTGTTGGGTTGTCCCTCCCCCCTTCTCTCTCGCTTTCGTCATTCTTGGAAGAAGCTTGTCTCTTTCCCACCACCTTTCAATCCCCCCGCCTCGCGGGCTGAGCTATTCGTCCCCGCTTCCTTCCCTGAGTGCAAAAGGTCTTCGTGTTCGTCGGATTCGTCGGAGGATAATGAACTTATCTTCCCTTCGGAGCTATGACTTGCACTCTTCTCAAATACGCACACCCACCTAGTCGATCCTTCCCCCCCTCCTCCCCGGATTCGGACCTAGTCGATCCCCCCCTCCCCGGGTTTAGATCGTGCGACGATGGAAGGGATCAGCTTTATCAATCGTATGATGAAAGGGATAAAAAGACGATTGAAAGATAGACTTGGTAGAACAGTACTAACTTTTAGACGACAAATGTACATGTCATAAACCCACTCATCGTTGGCATCCAAGAGACCTTCATTGTCCATCCCCTCTCACCGCTTGTTCTCTAGACGCCACCCCTTCCGCTCATTCATCATACGAATGTATCGATACCACCTCTACACTAGATTCATGTGGTGGTTGCGTTTTCCAAGGACAAGGACAAGATTGTACTTCTATCGAAGGTGCCGATGAAGTATCTTGCATAAAGGGATCTTGTCAAGTATCGAGTTGTTTGAGAGGTTGGGAGGTTAATGGTAATGGAACTTCTTGTGAGAGATCCGATTTAGGGTCGGTGGTTGGTAATGGGTTGAGAGCGTCTTGGAGGGTTGCGGATAGGTTGAGAGTACAATTGTGAGGGGTGATCTTTGGATTTTGTCGGTCAAGCAATTGGTGTTCAAGGGGGGTAAGGAGGGTGGATAGAAGATTGGAGTTGACTTGTGCCACTTGAACGTGATTCGACCTTTTTTGGATGTGGGGAGGATGGTGTGTCAGGGATCGAGGATAGAGCTCTCGGAGAAGAGGAATTATCAGAAAGGTTAGAAGAAATTCACTTGGAAATGGACATTTTTCGAACAGTCGAGATAGAATAGAAAAATATAAATTCACAATCTTTCTTTCTTTCTTCAATTTCAGATAGTCGGACTGGGTAGCATTAGAAGGAATTTGATATGATACTGTATATGAATATATTATGACTTACTTTATCTTGAATCTACTTTATTCATTCTCAAATATCAACACCATTCACATCTTCTCACTTTGTCGTTGGTCGTCAGTAGTTGTGCATCGAGTGTTCATAAGGTTAAGGGAGGTAAGTTTGGTGCGAGATTGTGAATTGCCGCTTTGGGTAACTTTATCTTTCAACTCATTTTGCCCACAAAAAGTCCAAAAGTTGATACGGTATTCGACTTTGAACGAACATCTGAACAAAGTGGAAAAAAGAACAATGACTTCGAAATTATTAAAACGTATGCCTGCTATTATATATGGTACAGCATGGTGAGTTTCTCAAACCCAACACTTCTAATCCATCACATGACCAAATTAACATATTTCTATCTATTCAACACATGTACCAACAAGTCTCATGAGATCTGGGGGGATATGAGAATGTTTTTCAATAGGTTTATAAGTGGTATATATGATCCATAAGATTGTCAAGGTATCATATTTCTATCTACTCGACATATATCAACTCAGTCTCGTGAGAGTTGGGTAGATATGAGAATGTTTTTGAAGAGGTTTATGAGTGGTATATATGATCCATAAGATTGTCAAAAACTTATAAAGTTAGGAAAAAAGAAAGAACGACGGATTTAGTTATGATAGCTGTCAGAGAAGGTTTTAGAGGGATAGATACTGCTTGTCAACCTAAAGTGAGCTTTTCGTTACTTCTTCTTTCTCTTATTATTCTCATTCTTGTTCTTCATGATTGTTCGTCTTATTCTTATTCTTATTCTCGTTCATGTACTTGTTCTTATTCGTGTACTTGAGGAGGATCGTATATTCACTCTGATTCACTTCCATAAATTCCTCCAAAAGCTTTGAGATGTGTGCATGAGTCGGTTCATCCTCATGGAATGGACCGGGTGTTATGTATGAAGTTACTTTGTGAATCTCATTGGTGCATAGCAAACTGATACCCAGCATTACAGAGAAGATCTTGTCGGTGTCGCATTAAGAAATCTATTCGATGAAGGGATCGTCAACAGAGATGATATGTGGATTCAAACAAAGTAAGTCTGTTTGTCATGTCTTCTCTTCACATTCTTGATGAACATCTACTCGTGCTTGATTCTTGACCATGTTCATTCCTGTCAACCTCTGATCTCATCATTGTTCAACTTTGACATATCATTCCCTTCTATATTCCCCATGTCTTCATGTCGCCATGTGACCATATCTCTTGTAATCTTCTGGAGAGAATTCCCTCTAGATCAGGAAGATTCGTTAAATGTCACAAGTCTTGTCTTATCGTGGAGTAAATCCTGGTCGTGTTTCAACCCCAGAATAATCTCAGAACTAAACTCATCCCAGATTCACACCTCTAGACGGACAAGATATCTCTCAACCATTACCTTATGATCCCAAAGCTTCTCTAGATGAACAAATAAGACAATCACTCGATAAATCAATACGAAATCTTGGTGTTGATTATTTGGATTCTGTCATTTTACATTCGCCATTACCTACGAAAGAGGTTAGTCGTCAATCACCTTGTCTTTCCCATTCCTCAACATCCTTCTTGCGTATTCACATTTTTCATCTTGCCCATGTTGGCGGCTTCTCAGTTCACCCTGTTTCCAGAATACACTTTACATATCTTCATTCAGCTCACTTCAATATCTTTTGAGGTCCGTAAGGGTAAGGCACTCCGATTTTGCCATTTGATGCTTGTCACCTAAGTGTCAGTCTTGAAAGCTGAAGAGAAATAGGAAACGCTATTGGCCTACCGAACCCTTGAAGAATTAGCAGACCAAGGTAAAGTCCGTACATTGGGTATCTCAAACATATACGATCCTACTCTTTTACAATGGCTCATCAATCAAGCTAGGATAAAAGTTGGGGTGGTTCAAAATAGATGGTATGAAGGTAATGGATGGGATTGGTCAAGTACGTCTTCATCTTCCATTTAAGACGTTGAGATTGATGGATAGTAGTGGATATGTGTTTGGCGAA